CTGCTTCATCAGGGGTTTTCCCCTCCGAGTCCTCGCTGCTGCTTTCTGCCTTGGCAGCCTCCTCCTTGGATGTGCCCTTGGGCTCCACAAGCACGGCGGGCTTGGGCAAGATGCCGTTGATGACGGGCAAGGGGGAGCCGCTGGGCCCTGGCTCCGGGGTGAAGCCACATACCTCGCAGGTTTCCTTGCCCAGAAAGTTCCTGAAGGTGCAGCGGGCACAAGCCCATTTCTGTTCCTCCACGCTGAGCCGCAGGATGTGGTTGAGGTCGGGCTTCTGGCGGGGGGCTTCGCATATGGAGCACTGCCGCTGGCCGACGGGGTTCAGAAAGGTGCAGCGGGTGCAGGACCACTCGCGGACGGCAGCCATGGAGCCGGGAGAGTGGGAGTGGCTGGAAGAAAGAAGACGACAGCGTGAGGCCAAGGCCACGAGGTGCGCGGGGGTATCATGCGTTTCCTGGGCTGGCATAGTCAGGACTTTGCTTCCAGGAAGGGGATAACCATCAATCCAGTCATTGCTCTCCAGGCACTTGTTCCTCTGGCACTGACAAACGATTTCTCCAAGTGCACGGCAATGCACTGGCTTCCACCCAAAAACACTTCAGGAAGGGCACAAGAAACAGCCTTGCAACCCTGCCGACCCCTCTCTTATTGCAGGAATGTGCCCTGGCGAGCAAGCGCACCGCCTCCGTGCCCAACCTCGACAATTTTGTAACTTTCTGGAGGAGGTGACACCCTGCTCTGCCTTATTGCTGTTCCCAGGGTCAATTCTTTCCTCCTACAGTGTCACTCCAGCCCACCTCTGTTTCACTTTCCGTTCCTGTCTCTCTCCTCTCCTCTTGGCTCACCACCATGGGCACACCGCTTATCCACACTGCGATAACTGTGTTATCCCACACCAGGCACCACCAAGAACAGAAAAGCAGGTTGTGGTGTACAGGGTGCTTTTACCTGGCTATGGGCTTCAGAGCCAGAAGCCTGGCCCGGCCAGCCTGTGAGCGGTAGCTCCATGCCGGAGCCGAGGCGGGTCGTGGCGAGCCGGCTCCGGGACAGCTCACTGGCAGGTTCTGAGCTCAGCAGCAGCTCCTGACTCTCCCCAACCTCTGGCAGAGGCGAGGCATTTCTGATTAGCAGGCTTTGTGGAGCACCATGTCCCAGCTCTTGCCCTGCTTACCTGGGAAGCGGAGAGGCCACAAAGCCCTGCCGTCACCACCAGCCCTCGGTTTCACACGCCTGT